CAGACAGGATGATGTAGGAGAAAGGAGAATGGATAATGTCATGGTTCCACATAATAAAGGATTTAGAGCTGTGCTAATTTAAAGGAGAAAAGGTTATTTGGAATAGACATTGCACCTGTCAGCAGTTACTTAAACTGTCTCTTTCCATCGGCACACACAGTGGTAGACATACAATCCCAGGAAAATATGCTTTTGATTTAAGGAAATGCTGACTGGCCTAACATGCACACCTACACACATTCCAAGTCATCCTTCAAAGCCAGATCTCTGCATAAGTAACCATAAGTAACCATTAGAACTTAGATTTTCATCATGGACTTAAATTTTTAGCTATTTTAGGACTTCTAAAACATGGATTTTGAAGACAGTAACTGTTCACAACTAAATTATTTAATGTCTTTTAAACTTTTTTAAAAATTTTATATGTTATGTTTTATCTCGGCTATTCACCGCCCTGAGTCCTGTTGGAGAAGGGCGGTATAAAAATCAAATCAAATCAATAAATAAATAAATGAATAAATAAATGGACTGAATAAAGCATCTCAGCTCTTTCAAGAGCAGTAGCCTGTTCTGCATGTTAGCTGCGGATTTTTAATAGGACAAATCCTTTTTCAGAAGAGTGTACAGATGGTAAATCAGGTGAAGGTGGGAAAAATATATTGCTTGACAGGCATTATTTGGACTTTCAGGAATGGTGATGAATCCCAAAGTACCCCTTAGGCTGTATACCTTTCACCAGGTTATATAATTTGGCTTAATCCAGCTGGCCAGTGATTTAAAATACTATTTAATCCATTGTTTCATTTGGGATTTGCTGAAATAGAATAGTAAATATTACACCATGCCTCCGTTTTTAGATATCTCTGCTGAGAATTTTCATGAAAATACTATGTAAGTAACGTGGGAGAAAAAAACGGTATATCCTGTGTGAAATCCCACACGATTGTCCTATGGGGCAGTGGAGATGATTACTGGCTTTCACCCCAGATAATAAATTCTATCCAGATTGAAAACTTCAGAGAAATCTAAGTGATTTTCTGGCCTTCTCTAACACAAATTATAACCTAGAGTAGATGAAGCAGTTTCTGTTCTATAATCTGAAAGTTTGAATGATAGAATTGGAAAGGACTTCAGAGGTTATTTTATCGTGCCTCACTACTGAAGTACTTTGCACAAAAGGTTGCTCAATGGCTTCTGTAAAGGAGAATATACCTGTCCATGAAATGGGCTGTTCTGCTGGCTGACTGCTTTTACTGGCTGGAAACTTCTCCTAATATATAGCCTGAATCTGTGTGGTTCAAGCCATTGGTTCAGATCATTGCCGCCAGGTCAATCGTGACTATTCTACTTCTTCCTCAGTATGACAACCTGAAGTCTACAGTCATATGTCCCCTCAGTCTTCTCTTCTGCACGCAAACATATGTAGTTCCTTGCAGAACTTGATTTCCCGTCCTCTCACCATTTTGGTTGCCCTGTTCTGAATTACTTCATTTACTGATGTCCTTTTTAGACAACAGTGCCAAGAACAACATGCTATTCCAATGTTATCTAAGCAAAGCAGAGCAGATTGGGACAATTTCTTCCTGTGCTTTATGCTCTGTTTCTGGACTCTGTGTTAATATAGTCCAAAATAGCATTTGTTCTCCTCACAACCTCATTACAACTATTGGCTCATGTTCAACTTATGATCTTCTACAGAACACCTAGATATTTTTCAAATATACTACTACCAAGCCAAGTGCTCCCCATCCTATACTTATACCCTTTTGTTTCACTCCCTAGCTTTAGGATTTCGCAAATCTCCCAATTAAATTTTGTCTTGTTTGTTTTGGCCCACTGTTCAAGTCTGACTAGGTCTTTTCTCTTCCTCTTCTAAATTGTTAACCCCTTCTAGGTTGGGCCATCTGAAAATTTGCTAATCATCTGGGTACAGGTCATTAATATAAAGTTTGGACAGCTGGAGACTTGTGGTATTCCTCTTGATATTATTACTCTACAAGTTGATGTAGAATCCAGTATGAGTACTTTGTAGAAATGATTATTCAGTGAATTATGAAACCAACAATTATATCATCTGGGCCACATTTTATCCTTTCTTTAAAAAGGGACATGTGTGATGAAGAGTGATATCCATTTTCTCCAGCCAGGTGGCATTTAGATATTTGGGAACTATTGGTTTGGTATTATTATTTATTATTATTATTTATTATTTATTCAATTTATATACCGCCCTTCTCCTAATGGACTCAGGGCGGTGCACAGCCAAAACTAAAATACATAACAATACAAAATTTAAAATTAATTAAAAGAATTATATACTTTGGCCTGAATTAAAACAGTGCGAATTAAAACCCATTAACAAATTAAAACTAAACAATTAATAACCATTAAAAACTAAAAAAGGGGAAATTATAGGTCCCAACATTAGTGCTTGACAAAAAAGAGTGTCCTTTGTAGGTTTCTGCTACTTTTGCTTCAAGGACTGATAGTATCATATGTTTACATGTGGTTCCAGCCCTTCCAGAAATATACAGTATGAAGCAAAACTCTTGATTCCGTCTTAAGTGTTAACCAAATCATGTGCATGTTCAAGGACAAACTGTGTTTTAACTGGTTTAAAGCCAGCTCAAACAGCATTATCTCATCTGTAGGGACAAAGCAGATATTGGATAAACATCATTTTAGAAATTACCTTAAAAATGTGTTGAATATTTTTAACACATTTACCAGGCCAAAGAAAGCCTTTTAGATAGTGGGCATACTCTGTGCAAGTTTCCTTCTAAGCATGTTGTTTGTTTGTTTGTTCGTTCATTCCTTTGATTTCTGTAGTCACCCAACTTGACTCTGGATAGCTATAGAAATCAAATAAATAGATAAATAAGTGTGCATGCTGAAATAAGACATAGAGTTTAATCCGTCTGAGTCACCAGAAATGGAAAGTCTCACTTGAATTGGACCCGAAATGTGGATTTTGAGGGCAAAAATGGTCATATGGGTGTTGCCTTTTACACAGTTTTCTACACCGGTTGAATTGATAGGGATAAGATTGTTGGCTAGAGGAGATTTTGAATGTATCCAGCACAGATGAGGCTACAGGTGGCTCTGAATTGCTGTGTTCTAGCTCAGGGGTCCCCAACCCCGTCTGTGAACTAGCACCGGTCCACAGAAACAAGCAAAGCTCCATCCATGGGATACAGGCACCATGCAAAACTACGTCCCCTCTGGTCGGCAGAAAAATCTTTCTCCATGGAATCGGTTCCTGGTGCCCCAAAGATTGGGGGCCTCTGTTCTAGCTCACTAGATGAGAGAAAGCTTTGAGACTCTACCCAAAACACAGAAATCAAGTTGATATTTTTAAAATAGAGGTTTGTGTGTTTGCCTTTTGCTTTTCAAGTTCGCATTACTTGTTCTACAAAAATTAACTCCTCTGAAGCTTTTTCTATAAATATGTTGACTTTAAGTTTTAAACTTAGTGGGAGATAATAATTTAGTGTAAAAACAAATGTCTCTTACATATTAAATTCCAGCTAGGTTTTATACCTGTTATCTACCTGTAGCTCAAATCCTCAGGCATGACTGGGAGGACTCTTGACTAATTATCTCATTTGATGTCAGGCAGATACCAGCAGGTCCTTACTGTACATCCTTAAAGCACATAAGAAATCTCTAAGTTAGAGGTGTGCAAGCAGGGTCCTAGGGCTGTCTGACCTTCTCATTTGGGTACACTAAGCAGAACTGCTCCATAAATTGTCACCAAATTTGAAATTTTAATAGGCCAAAGTGGAAAATGATGAACTATAATGGTGATAATCATGCTAACTGCATCACACCTAAATCATGACATTAAATTTCTCTTTCTGTCATGGCCCAATCTGATATTCATTGGTGGCTCATTCCAAGACCAAATCAATTTTTGAGCTTACAACAGGTTATAAATCCCTCCAATATTCTAAACTTTCTCCAAATTTTGGCTGGCCAGGCTGATGGGAAATACTGAAATTCCAGTGCATGTGAAAGTTACAGTTTCACGGCCCCAGAAGAACATTGGAAAATGAATGGGATCAACATTCCTAAGTCATTGTGTATAATTTCCGAAGTTTAATGAAAATGAAAATATTTTGCCTCCTTGGATTCCTAAAAAAAATAGAATTGGTCTAGTAATACTGTGCATTGTATAATAATAAAGTTGAACGTCAAATTTCATAGCTGGGAAACAGTCTGTGAGTGTCTTTGTTTGTATGCAGTGGCCCTTTGCTGCAGAATGAATTGAGCCTGGCCAAGGTGTAAGCTATTAATTTAATAGGCAAGATCTGCACAGCTTACAAAATGTTGTGTTTATTTGTGAGCTTTGAGTGTGAATCAAATCAGACTATGCCAGTTAACGATAATGGGTGAGATAATGGGTACCCTTCAGATTGTCATCCAACATTTCATCCTAAATCATAATGTGGTTTGTTTTGAATAAGTTTGAATCTGACCACTATGGCTTAGTATGTAAGACAACCTACAACTCCTAGATTCATGTTAAATGTGGTCAGTGGCAGCAAGGCAGTGGTGAAATTCAAATTTTTTTACTACCGGTTCTGTGGGTGTGGTTTGGTGGACATGGTGTGGCTTGGTGGGCGTGGCAGGGGAAGGATACTGCAAAATCTCCATTCCCACCCCACTCCAGGGGAAGGATACTGCAAAATCCCTTTTCCTTCCCACTCCTGGGGGAAGGATATTGCAAAATCTCCATTCCCACCCCACTCTGGGGCCAGCCAGAGGTGGTATTTGGCGGTTCTCTGAACTACTCAAAATTTCCGCTACTGGTTCTCCAGAACCTGTCAGAACCTGCTGGATTTCACCTGTGTGCAGCAAGGGCACTGTAGTCTGACACACACGCAACTTTAATGGGTGGTGGAAGTACTTTACCTTCTGGATGCCAATCAAAGTTTGTGTTCAGCTCCTTTGCAATTGTGCTTTGTTCAGTCTCTCTCTCTTTCTCTCTCTCTCTCAAGCAAAAGGCCTGTCTTGGTTCTACAGAATGAAACCCTCTATTCCCAAAGGCGACCATACACTAGTGAGGATGAAGCCTGGAAGTCCTTCCTTGAAAACCCCCTTACAGCAGCTACCAAAGCCATGATGAGCATCAACGGGGACGAGGACAGCGCAGCTGCTTTGGGCCTCTTGTATGACTACTATAAGGTAATTCATTGGAGCTTGGGACTGCTGGAATTTAATTCACATTCTTTACGCTGGGGTTAGCAACAGTAAATTGTATGGATTTCTGTCAGCCTCATGTTACTATTAAGACCTAAATAGCTGAACACCGCACTCTAAAGTTGGACACGACTGAACAGGGAAACCTTTACCATTACCTACTTTTCTCTCCTCCCTACCTAAGGTTATAAGCCCAACACAAGTATGAGTACTGATCATTCTTCAGAACTAACTGTCAGACTGAAGAGAGCTGTTGTAAAGGCATTTGTGGCTGTATTTCATTTTGGTTTGGTTTGGTTAATTTTATTTTACAGTATTTGTATATTAAATCAAAGCAGTGTATATGCATTATTAAGTATATGTATGATTATTATGCATATTTTTTCTGATGTGTCTTCTCTGTAAACTGCCAAGAATCCTTGGGGATTCGGTGATGTAGCCGTCATTGTCATCATCATATCATCATCACCATCACCATCATCATCATCTCACCATCATCATTTTTTAATAGTTTATTGGACCTGGAGTTTCAACACAGAATTCCTGAAATATATAGACCAACCCTGAAAATTCTATGTTCTGATTATGATAGCTTTCCAAGGTGGCTTATGGTTGGCTTACAAGCAAACGAAGCACTGCCTATAGTTGAGTCTGTATTTTTCCAGTGCTTCTTGACTCAGGTAGCACTACACACATACACACCCCTCTGATTTGCTAAGTTGTGCTTAAAGCCATTTTGTACAACATTCTTGCCTTTTTGACAAATAGTCAGCTGCTTAAAGAGGGTGTTCCCAACTGTCATTTATATGGTTTGGGTTCAGCAGACAAAATTGTTTGGATGCAAAGGTGCTGCTGATACAGCAGATTTCCATGCTGGAGGATACTGAGCTAACAAGCAAATTGCTTTGTAAAAAAATGTTGTTAAAGTAAAGATAATCTACTTCATGTTTACTAAAGCTGTGATCATCATTCATTTTTTTTTAGACTGTAGAATTACTACAATATTTGCATCATGTCTTAAAAGCAAATGTTAAACTGAAATAGGAGATATAACAAATAGACTGCCTTGGCCATAATCTCCTATTTGATTGATAAAACAGTTCTGAAGTTGTTAGCTTTGAAACAAGACTGATTGTTTTTAGCTGGTATCTCCAAGCCAAATATTTATGCTTTTAAAATGTATTTTTGATACAGTGTATTCCGGTAATTGTTAATATCCTAAAAAACTGTGCTTAGTTATTGTCCTTTTAATAAAGTAATTGATATATTTTATATTCCAAGGTTCCCCGGGAAAGGAAAGCTTCTACAATGAAACCAGATGTAGACCAGTCTGATCAAGATCATGGGAAAAGGTTCAGTATTCAGTTTTGAAATGGGTAATATACCTGTTTTAAGCCAGGATCCTTTTTAAAGAAAGGAATAATTTTTAACTACATTGAGATTTGGCTTTTTATATAGTGAGTTGACACCAAGATTTTGTTTACCCTCAGCTGTTGATTAAATCAAAGTATTTTAGCTTATACAAATTGGTTAGCTGCAATAATTGTGTTACCAAATCACACTACTTTATGGCAAAACCAATCAACCAAGTTATGGTTTAATTAGTGCAAGATATGAACGCAGTGAGACTTTATCAAGTTGTTTAAAGCTTGAGTTTATCCAGATATAATACAAATGTAACTCCACTCTTGTTCTCAGTTTACTATAGGTAGATTAACATAAATAAAAAAGTGTCTGGCTTATATGACTAAACTTGGGTATGTCAAAAAGAGAAAATTCAAACACTAGGCGTGTCCCAAAAGTCATCTGTATTTTTGTCCAGATTATCACTTCAGATCTATAGAAAATGCTGCAGCTTAATTTTGAAAAATGGCAGGGATATGATTATTGTTTCTCCTTTACAACTCAGAATTCTGTGATTTCTTCAAACGTAGTTGAAATGAAGAGTCTGCCACTGGCTTTTCTCTCAGGTTCATATTTGAACATTATGGAAGAAAAGTGTCGCATTTCTCATAGCTAGATATTTTTTTCAATTATAACCTGAATCTTTCAATTGTTAGGAGTTTCTGATGATGCTTTTATAACTAATTATGCAATGTGATCTTGCTGCCTTTGACTATACGAGCATTAGAAGATTTGCCTGTTTGGTTTTTAATTTATAGTTGCACTGCCTTTACTTGAGATACTGGGTCTCTGATGAAAATGTGTATTTTGTGAATACAACTGCTAGTATAAAGCCTCAAGCTAGACATACCAACTGTAGGATGGTGCTAAGGAATTTCTGAGAGATTCCAGGAACTGAAAGATAGTCACCAGTTAAAGAGGGCAAAGGACTTATCCCAATATTCAAAAATGCTAAGTTTGAAGGAAAGATTATATGCATCTGTTTTGCTCCCTTATCTCTAGTCTGAAGAAAATAAAAAAGGGGAACAAAAGTGGACAGGTCAGAAATCTTCCCTCAGTGCTTAGTATTTCTATTGTCTTTCTTCTAACAATGTGTAGTCTGGATTAGTTTTTTGCTCATTGGTAGCAATAGGAGAATAATTCACGGAGGAAAGGTAACATCAAACAGGCTTCGGCATTAGCGTCTCTCCTCTTGAAATTGATTCTTTCTGCCATACGCTTAATCTACCACTCAATCAGTTCTCTTGTTTGTTTAGGAACAGTATGCCAAACCTGATGGAACAGTCACTTATTTCTGCTGGGGAGAACAGAGTGCAAGTCTTGAAAAACATGCCTTTGAATATTGTCCTTCCACACAGTTCCCAAATGGGCATGGACAAGAGGGGCCACCTGACAACCCCAGATACTACAGTCACTGTCTCCATTGCATCTATGCCCACCCATTCCATCAAGACAGAAACTCAGTCACACAGTTTCACTGTGGGCATCCCTCCAAATGTCTATCACCCAGAAGCGCCGGAGAGGGTGGTAGCTTTAGACCGGAGCCTCAACACCGACCAGTTTAGCACCAACAGCCAGCCTCAAAATTCCCAGCGACGTACTCCTGATTCCACCTTCTCAGAGTCTTTTAAAGAAGGTGTGCAAGAGGTACAGAAGTAACCTGCATCTTTTGCTTATTGGGTTCTTAGCCTAGAACTGGGTCTTCTGTAGTGATGAAGAAAAGCCGTACAACATAATGTTGGAACGTGAAGGCCAATTGGGTAGACAATTGGCCTTCCAGAGAATTATGAAAATGAGTCCTTACAGTTGTAAATTATAACTATACATATAATAAAAACAGTAAAAGTAACAGAATTTTTGTTAACAAAATAATAGATGAGAATATTTATAAGAACTTTGATGTCATCCTTTGTCCCTGCTCATTGTCCAGACTCTGCTATAGACATTCATGTAAGATAATCACTACAGATTTTGAGTAAATATAATGAGATTATGTTGGAAAAAGATTAAAAATGCAGATCTTAGAATGTTGGGTACTTGAATGTTGACCATCTTAAAAGCAGAGACTAACCCCAGCTCTGAGAATAAATAACAATGACATTCCTTCTCCTTTCCCCTCTGATTTTGAGTGTGCTCACTAATCTGCACATGGATATCAAGTTCCTATTTAATTCTTATGTAAACCTGAAATTTCAGTCCAATGGATTAGAAATAGAAGATTTTTTTACAGGTTGGATATGGGTATATAATTCTAATTTTAAAACAAAAGCAACTTCTGTACAGTATGGAATTGCTAGCAAGAGAACATGGCTCACCTTACAGGACGTGGCTCACTCACCTTGAATGTGAGCAAATTGTTTGTGTGATACATGAGTTACCTTGGTTCTAGACTAAGCTTGTTTTGTATCTGAATTATGGGTGTCAGCAAATAGTCTATTGATGATAAATTTAGTGCTGTTGTACTATTTAAAAATGGCTTTTTGTCTGAAATCTTTATGAACACCTACAGGTTTTTTTCCCTTCTGAACTGAATCTTCGGATGGCCAATGTGAATTCTGAAGACTATGTGTTTGAAAGCATTACTGGGTAAGTGTCTTTCCCTGCAAATTTAGTTCTTGCACAACAACTGGATTCTGATGCTCTTGCAAGCTTGTCTTGGCACACCTCACATTTGCTCTGTCCTCTTGCTCATGCTCTGCTTTGTGAAATGAAAGACCGAATCCCCGAGTGGTGAGATTTGGCTATTCCGCCCCTAATCCCTTTGGAAATATCACGTGAATCAGAACACGTACACAAGAATGTGCCTAGGTAAAATGAGGTACCGGTACTTTTCCACCCCTGGCTTGAAACTTAAAAGTTTAGCATTGCGGATTGTAAAGCAGTGTGGCCTCGCAAAGGAAAGCAGGTGGATTAATATTGAGTCTGTGGAAGTGTATTTCATCGCTCTTTTGGTGTACCACAGAAAGTGAGCTGTGAATCAGATAATGCTTCTACCACAAACACATGAGTGGATATCAGGTGCTCTTTTCGTCACTTTAGTCACAATGTCTCTAAGTTGGAGGAGAGTTGAGCGTTTCATTTAATCAGACAATGAAAATGAGGTGCTTCGAAAACATTATATAAATGTTATTATTTTACTTATCACATTCTATGCAGCATCATTCTACACAAATATAAAATACTGTAACCCAAGTGCAGATTAGCGAATGTAACATCTTCACAGCAGTTGAGCAATCTTGATACATCAGATTTTTAAATCAGGGTACCAAATTCTAGATACTTCTGGTGGCATTTTTACAGTCTGCAAATCCTCTGCCTCATTCCTAAAATTATAAGAGTGGATCCTGGTGATGTCATCTTAAATTTCCAATCCTGTATTTCTCACATATCTGCCGTTTATGGTCAGTCCCACTATTGAGTCTTCAGCTCTAATATCTAGCACATTGGGATTGTTATGTTTGGATGATTTCATGCAATAAGTTGTTTATAAAACTTCCTGTTCTGAATTTTTCCAGGAACAACTTTGAATATACGTTGGAAGCTTCAAAATCACTTCGGCAGAAGCCAGGAGATAATACGATGACTTATCTAAACAAGGGCCAGTTTTATCCCATTACACTGAAGGAAATTAGTGGTGGTGAAGGAATCCATCAACCCATCAGTAAAGTTAGAGTGAGTTACAATTAAAGGAAGTGTATAGGAGAGAAACTAATGGCAAAGGCTGGTAATAGCATTTCTGCTGTGCAAGAGGGGAAATAATTTGTTTGTGGATGACCCAAACTTCTTATGGGCTACCCATAATTTGTAAGGCTATAAATAGTCCATAACTGTTCTCAATTGGCTTTGATCTGATCCATCAACTTGTTTCCCCTCTTTTTAGCAAGTTTTTCTTTAGAATATAAAGACATCTTTTTTGCTTGCAGTCTGGGAAGCTGTACTGTAGTGTTAATCTAAATTAGCCCAGTAGTTTTTGGACTAGGAGTGTACAATTCTTTCTTTATGCTCTTGACAGTGGTTGCTAGGTAGATCAGGCTGATAAATAATTACTGCCTTCTTCATTAATAATATTCAATACATCAAAACACCTATCTATGAAAAAGTATGAAATCATGAACAATGACAACATTTTGTGGCTGGGCTGGTTTGATTTTTGCAAAAGCATGTAACCGATTATTATGATCTTATAATGAACCAGACTTCCTCAGTGATACTTAGTAATCCTCATTGCAAAGAGCAGGTTTTATTTCTAACTTTCCCAAATAAATAGAGGTTCTTCCTTTCTTTTGGAAGAATGTAGGGAACAACTTCAAGTACCATTGAAAGGCAGAATGTTATCAGCCTATTTAACAAGAATATTCCTTTATTTTATTATTATGCTGCTTCCTAAACTATTCCAAGTTACGATTTCTTGAACTGTTGTTATGTTATTGTCTGAGGGTTTTTACATTTGCTGCCATTGTAGGCCTATCTCCAAAACTTTATTTTTCAGCCTGTGATATTTTTGAAAGAAAGGTGTTGCTGTTTTGGATTATAGATGAAGGAAGTGCTTTATGCTTTTCTCTGGTTTTTGAGCACCCTTCATGGTTAATTCCTTGTGTCTGCCATTGTTGTTCTCAAATCTGAGAAGCTTGTTCTTCTAAACTTGGAAAGTTCACTTCACTTGTCCCTCAGAGCCCACAGATACAGAGGGCAGAGATAAATCTCCAGAGTTGCTAGTCCTAGGTAATAGCTGTCCACCCTTCAGCAAAAAACGGGCACACACACCCCTCTGCCACCCCCACCATATAGCTATTCTGTTAATGAAGCTTTTCTGCTTTCCCCCCCACCCCCGCCTTTTTCTTTCCTCCTCTTTGCAGAGTGTCATCATGGTTGTATTTGCTGAGGACAAAAGCCGGGAGGATCAGCTCAGGCACTGGAAGTACTGGCACTCCAGGCAACACACAGCTAAACAAAGGTGCATTGACATAGGTAAGAAGCTCTCAAGCAGCAGGTGCCAAAACACAACTTAGCAGGTTTCAGGTCTTGTGTTTGCTTGTGAGCTCAGGACCATCTTCAGTCAATGGTTCCCAATCTTGCCTGGCCCTATTTTGAGGTTAGATTCAGTGGTGGGATTCAAATAATTTAACAACCGGTTGTCTGCCCTAAAATGACCGGCTGGGGTGGGTGTGGCCAGGGGGTGTGACAGGCAGCACTTGGCCTCCTGCACCCCCCTGGGAGCAAAAATGGGCCATCGGGGCGGGTCGCCACGCCCCGTGCCCCATTTTGGGCCTAGTAGGCCTCCCTGCACTTACCTGGGAGCCAAAATGGGGCACATGGGAACTCCTGGAAGGGACGGGGCAGAGCCAGCCAGCAATTTAACTACCAGTTCACCCGAACTGGCCCGAACCGGCTGAATCCCAACACTGGTTAGATGGAAATCCAACTGCTCATCAGAATATTTTGTTTGGGAGAGAATTACAGATATAAACAAATATACCAATCTCTGTCACTTGGTCAATTGACCATCCGACCGATCGATCAAATGGGTCCACAGTTGAGTAATAGTAGTTTGAACTTGCAATGGATGTTAAAACAAATCTCTAACGTTGAAAACTGGAGAATGGTTCGTTGGGTGGACTGTGTTTCAAGCTTCTGGTTGCAATGTTGCTCAAACAGAAGTGGCTGCGGCTGTTACAGTTTTGTGGCGCAGTACCTGCCTGTATCAAGTTTATCATATGTGAACATCACAGAAATTTGAGTAATCCTATTTTCTGAACTTCATTAAATTTTTAGTCATTGCCGCTTAGAATCCTCTTTTTCTTCTATCCCTCTTCCCCCAAAATAGCATTTTTTTTTTCATTCTTAATTCCCAAACCCCTCTGGCCTCAAATGTTGCCTGTTGTTCATGCCATCAATCCTGGAGCCTCTTGGCTCTATAAATGTATGGATCAGAAGTGGTGACTTAGTGCAGAGGGGAAAGGCACTCTTCACATGAGCAAAGCTGCTGTTGCTTCTTAGTCAGAGATCTGAAAGGACGCTTTAAGGTTGCAGAACAGGTTCCAAGATTGAGTCGCTGGCAGAAGTCAAGCCTTAGGTACAGTTTGGGCAAGGAGATGAAAGATGACATTACAGATACCCATTTGCCTACAGCCAAGCTGTGATTGGCCCACTTCCAGCTCCTTTGGTTTGAAGGCTGGGTGGCAGTCAATCTTTTTTTTCCCTCTTGTAAATAAAAGTGGGGATTAATGCTTAGCACTTAAAGGGAGATGCACATGCAAATCTTCCTTTATTATCAGTTTTTATGAAGAGCAACATATCCTGATTGTGCTGTCTAACTCCTTTTTTAAAGGAGAATTGAAGGCATGACAAAGGTAGCAGGTATTGCCTGTCTCCTTTGCTATTTCTTAATTTCATTTCCTGCATTGTACTTAAATAAAAACTTAAAGGGGTGCCCAGAGAAACATTTAGATTTCTTTTGTCTTCTCTAAGATAGCTCAGAAGAAAAATGACTGGTTGCCTAATTTGGGTCTGTGTTTGTCAGTCAACTAAGTTATTTTGATATATTTTCCTTCCTTTATGTTGTCAACAGCTGATTATAAGGAGAGCTTCAACACCATAAATAATATTGAAGAGATAGCCTATAATGCCATCTCCTTCACTTGGGACATTAATGATGAAGCAAAGGTAAGTGCCAGGGCTCTTCCTTCATGACCCTTCTGAGTATTAATGAAAGAAAGGGAAAGCTTAGGTTGAGAACCAGTTATGTCTAGTAGGTATGGCACCAGGCTAGAAACAAGGAGACTGTGAGTTCTAGTCTCGCCTTAGGCATGAAAGCCGGCTGGTGATTTTGGGCCAGTCTCTCTCTCTCTCTCTCTCTCTTAGCCTATGACATCAGGCTTGGGTTGCAGGCTGGTTGGCCAATTCCTGTCCCTATCAATGAATCAATAGTTGGTTGGTCCAAAAAACCAGCACTGACATAGGTAAGAAGCTCTCTTGTGGAAAACACTAGGAAGAAAACAAAAATTAAGCTCGTAGCTCTCTTAATAACAAACTATGATGAAATAGTTTACTCAAGGCTCCAAACTTGATTGCACAAAATATGACTTCAGTAACTGAGTGGTCAATGCCTGGAATCCATTACCTGACTCTGTAGTTTCTTCCCCAAACCCCCAAAACTTTAACCTTAGACTGTCTACTGTTGACCTCACCCCATTCCTAAGAGGTTTGTAAGGGGCATGCATAAGTGCACCAGCGTGCCTACTGTCCCTGTCCTAATTTTCCTTTTTACTTACTATTTTCATGTATTCAAATTAGGTTTATACTTTTACTTGTTATCTTATATATGATTGACTAAATAAATAAATAAATAAATAAATAATTGCCAAAAGCTTTTTGGGAAAATAAAGTTTGAAGCTGATGAAAGCGTCACAGCTTGGATTATGAAATGGCACGAAGCCCGAAAAGGTGACCCTTTTCTGACTATTTTTTCCCCCTTGCCTCTGGATTTAGTCTGATCAAAAAAGTGTGAATGAACAGGAGTCAGAAAGTGCACTAGGCCTTTTCGGTATTCTTCCAGCAGAAGAAAAGGCGGTTGGTTCAGCATCTGAGACTGCTTCTCTTATTCAAACACATAGCTTTCAGTCATCTCAGTTTAAACAGAGGTGTGTTTGCAGGCTGGAACTTGTAGTCCTCTGCAAACAGTCCATCTCCTCCACCAAGTGTCCTTGCATGTCAATCGAATGGAGTCATCTCTCATTTTCCATTTGCTCTGTGGATATCACTAGATAGACTTATGGTGATGTCACCTATGGAACTTTCCTTGTGTTTCTGTATGGAGCTTTCAGAGAATGATGGGCAACCTTATTTGCCACTCAGAGTCTCCTTGAACAGGTGGCATATAAATTTAATAAATATAAATAAATACACAAGTAAATCTCATATTTATTAGATGTTCAAAAGGGAAGCAAAATTTGATCAATGAACAATAACCAAAATTGTGTTATCAAAGGGTTTTTCAAGCCATCGGTTTGATCTCGATTGGTTCTTGGTTGGTTCGAAATATTCTCAACTTTGGAAAAAAAAGATATTCAGAATTATTTGAAATATTAAAAGAATTCTCAAATGATTCTGAAATAATTTAAGTCTTAGATGCAGCAGTGACCCAGGTCTCTTCTATCAGTGTTCTTAACTGGTACCTGTCCAGGTGCATTAGTCTCAAATTCCCATAAACATTAACCAATATAGTCAAAGATCTTTGTTCGTTTTGGCTGAATAGGTGAGTTGAAGACCAATGTATGTAAGAATGAATTCGGGTAGAAAAGGCTGGTCCAATGGATAATCTGCTATGAGTCATATAAAGAGCAAATATAGATCATGGAAAAGGCAGCAATGGAAAGGATCTTTTTACCAGGAATCCCCTTGGAGCTAATAGAATCTTGATCTGATAGAGGACTTAATTGCGATGGGGAACTAAATGTGTGTCTATTTAGTTTTTTTAAAAAAAATACTCTTTATATTAATAAACCTCTGGATTTGCCACTGGATTTCAAGAGCACTGCTTTCCTTCCTGTAGAATTTAGGGCTGGGTTATTTTCAAGGTCTGCCTCTTGCTAGAGGAACCTTGCAGGAAGAACGTGTCTTGCATGTGTATCCCTCTATTTAGGAGAAATAAGTACAAAAAATAGCATCCTGAATATGACCAGTATGCTAAGACTTTCAGGCTAGTAATTCTAGCCTCCTTGTGTGTATATTTTTATGTGTACATATAGGGGAATATGGAGACAGCCTTGAGGAAGGATATGTTAAGTAAACATCAATTTTTAGCCCTGATGTGATAAAGAAACATATGATAATCCTGACTTGATTCTGTTTAGTAACAGAGAGAAACTCTGACAGGTTTTCAAGATTCTCTTGCTATTATATCCTAGACCTAGAGTATAAATAGAGTTCCAGAATACCTTGCATTTCCTGTTCCCTCAGCTGCAGTACCTGTAACAGGTGTACAAAAAAGGACTGCAACATTTCAGAATATGGTTTCCATAGCAGTTTTAAACTGCATTCAGACCAAGAGTTATTTGTTGAAGAATTGAACATCACTGGAACTCCATGTACACAAACCTTAGCATTGATGGCAGTATTGTATATATAACTCAGAGGATAATATTCTTCATAGTTAATCAGAAGGAAGTCCTGTTTTCAGTAGGATCTGTTCTCAACTAACAGTTCTTAGGACTGCAATGTCAGTCTTTCTAAAGCAGGGGTGTCAAACTGAATTTCTTTGAGGGCATTGTAGTTGTCCTCCATGGGCTTCCCGTGCCCCGCTTCGGGTGGCAGAGTGCTTCAGGACGCTGTCCAGGCCAAAAACGGGGTGCGAGGGAGGCAGAGGCACTGTGGGCTGGTCCTTGGCTATTTCCAGGCTGGTCCCGCAGGCCAGATCTAAGCACCCCGCAGGCCTGGATCCAGCCCGTGGGCCTTGAGTTTGACACCCCTGTTCTAGAGAGTTATCATAATATGTTAACCATAATCTGAAACCTGGATTAAAATCTCTGTTTAGCTCTGAATAATTCACTTTCTTGGTGTGTTGAACCACTTTCTCTCAACCTGTTTGCTTCATCTCTGCACGTACCACTTGCCTTTTGCCTTTCTAAGTGTCATTTAATAGATGGGTATACTTCCAAACAAAGCCGTAGGCTGTTGCCACGCACTATATTTATTTTGCAAAATCTAGGGGCTTCCTAGGCCTTTATATAAATAAACATAATGTCTAAAGTACCGGGCTAGAAAATGAGAGACCATGAGTTCCAGTCCCGCCGTAGCCATGAAAGCCAGCTGGGTGACCTTGGGCCAATCACCCTCTCTCAGCCCAACCCACCTCACAGGGTTGTTGTGGGAAAAATTGGAGGAGGAAGGTGTGTTGGATATGTTTGCCACCTTGTGTTGTTAGTAAAAAATAGTAAAGGCAAGATACAAATAAATAAAAAATGAATTAAAATGACTTACATGTAAAAAAGTTGGGTGAGGCAGAAAACTGAGCAATGTATTCCTTAAACAGTCAAGCAAGGACATAAGGAAAGCGTCTGTTGAGTATGTTTCCTGCCCCCCCTCCCCCACTTTGAATGCTTCAAAAAACATGAGAATCACAAGATTGTTGCCCTTTTCTTAGCTGCACCTGACAGATGATCTGGGCAAATGTTCAGAAGAGAGGAAATGGAAGTCTTTCACAGTTGAATTTGGCAGGGGACTCTTTAAGGAAGGATTTGTGGGCAGAGGAGGAGGTGATTAGGGGATGGGCATGAAGCGGTTCCAAATCTTTATTGCTAAATAAATATTCCCTCCTCATCAGGTAAAGCCTGATGTGTTTATCCTTCCAGTACGTCAGCATATGCTGATGCTTAAAATGGCAGATCTCAAACGCCAAGGTTTCCTGCATGGCAATCTCTTATACATGGTATTAATCTTTATTGCACTATTTTTTAAACTGAACTACTTTTTTTAGGGTTAATTGAAATCCAAGTTCTTTCAACTTGGAGCTCAAGTTGAAAGAACCATCTATTTGTTCATTTCTGCATCATGCAAATTCACCTGGTGCGTCTCTTAAATAATCCTTGAGAACGGGTAGAATGAGCCAAAGGCTAGCAAACAAATAATTCATCTTGATAGGTAGCTGCAGGATGTTTGAAAACTTCTAAACGCTGGCAGAATATGTGAGTGCTACACTGTAAGTTGATAGTGGAGGGAGCATGGGCATCGATGACCAAAAATGTACATGTTGTACTGCAATTCTATACATACCTATTCAGTTAAACACCATTGTACATATTATATGGGGCTTATTACCAAATTGGGGGTGGTGGTACAGATTTGCAGGTGGACAGTCTAATCCTAAACTGTGTGTGCACATGAAAGAGAACAATCTGTAACATGGCCAACATCATTCCTGTGTTCTTTTGTTTCATGTCAGCTAGAATGAGAGCTAGCAAGTTGGTGGATAAGGATGAGATGTTGATCTAGAGCCTTTGGGAGAAATGAGAGAGTTTGGGCTCCATGTCATTAAGGTTGCCCCTCATGGTGTCCCAGGATCGATCTGTCAATTGCTTACTACCTGTCAGGTAGCAAGCAATTGACAGAGTCAGGACTACACATTAAATTCTAGTGAAGCTGGTTTATTGCTCATGCCTATACACAAGAATCTAGTCAACGAACGTTCAGCACTAAATTGGCGCTAGTAAGAGTGAATGGAATTCAAGAGGAGTTGGACTTAGAATGCTTGTGTTTATTTATTTATTTATTTGTTTAAATTTCTATACCGCCCTTCTCCAATGTAGGACTCAGGGCGGTGAACAGCCAAAGTAAAAACAAGACATACATACAAAACATACAAAATCTAAAATCTGTTTAAAATAATTAAATAATTTTGGCCGTAATTAAAACATTCCAATTTAAAATCCGTTTAAAATTTGACTCAAGCCAGCCCAGCTAGTTGAAATAAATGGGTTTTTAGGGCCCGACGAAAAATCCGGAGGTCTGTTATTGTACGTAGCTCTGGGGGGAGGTTGTTCCAGAGGGTGGGCGCCGCCACAGAGAAGGCTCTCCCCCTGGGGGTCGCCAGCCGACATTGTCTGGCGGACGGCACCCTGAGGAGGCCCACTCTGTGGGAGCGTACTGGCCGGTGGGAGGCTATTGGT